GAGAGAGAGAGAGAGAGAGAGAGAGAGAGACGCCCATGTAGACTCCTTTCACATAGAAGAGTCCCATTTCCCAGACCTCTTGGACTACGCTGTTTTCTTGAGTGTGCGGCACGGTTGTGTATGTGTTTGTATGCGTTCGTTTGCGACGTTCCTTTATCTTTGGCCGGCTACCGCGACCGAGAGAGACGCTTTGTGAAATATATATCTGTGGTGGAAAGGGAGGCCCGACCAACTCCATTTTTCGTGTTTTCGAAAAAACCGTGTGTGAAGTTGCGTATACGAGTGCGTAGATAGACGCGGACGACTGTAACTCTGTACCCGCGATATTTTAACTTACTACGATGAATCTTTTGGCCCATGTAACTATCAAATTGATAAAGTAGATGCGAAGCGAAAAAAGTGGACTTGGACGGGTTGACCGGGAAATGTCTTGCGCCCAAGTCCACATGCTGAAAAAATGACGGCATCTGTGTTAGACACAATTACGTTGCCGAGTAACTTGACTAGCTGACACTAGATGTCTATTATTGAGTACCCGCAAGTGGCGAGAAATTTCTCTCGATAGCTATATATGAATGATGTTTGAGTCTATACGTTCATTGATCTCCTTTGGATATAACACTTCCAGATACTGCAAACAGTCTCAATCGCTATAAAAGGTTTTAGACGATAATGCATATCATTTATAACATGCGTGGTCACACGTAGATGATAATGATATCAATGCATGTTGATTAATAATATAACTGGCAGTGGTCTGAAAAAATTTAAGAGTGTATAAGGCGAAGGGGATCAACTTTTGTAAAATTTGTTGCTTCTTTGAGATTCCGTTTACGCGTGTCACATATTAATTAACACGCGCCTCCTTGTGGGTGGTAATATCCACAATGAAAGAACGTCATATATCCACAATGATGAGTAAGAATGATTAAATGCAAAAATCAACAATTTTCTCGGGATAGTACTCGAACCTCTGACCATGTGGATGTCGAACGAGTATTTCACGCACGTGCCATTCGTCATTATGTATATAAGAGGAGATCGAAATATGGATGATTTCAAAAATCACTTCGTAATCGTAATGAAAGTTATTCTTTTGGTATCAAAAGAGAATACCCACAACCTGGACCCTAACAAATCGAACTGTGCACGGTCTTAAAGAACGTCCAGAAAGAAGATGTTTTAACCGTTACAGAGTCAAAATTTCATTAATAAAATGTTTTTCTATGAATTTTATTCCTTTTTTTACTTATTTTTATTAATATCGATCTACACTTGAAATAACTGACACAGATCGATTTTTGAGTTAATTGACCACTGTCGCACATTTTTCCACTTGTATCAATGATACATTTTGAAAAAAATTTGAATGGTGGGTTTTAAAAAATCAGAAAAAATCCTCACAAGTTACAAATATGGCCAAATCTAAAAATAAAAAGCAATTTTGCCAAAAAAAAGGGCAATTCGATATCGCGTTGAGGGTTTCGCTGAGTTGGACTTGGGTTACTTGGGTTACTATGGACTTGGTCGGTTTGGCATTGTGCTGTACCAAACGATAGAAACAATTTCCATCCATTTAGACACTTGCGCATCAAAGTTGACTCTAAATGTAAGTATTTAAAGTCATAAGCTCGATTTGGAAAAAAATGGAGTTGGTCGGTTCTCCCTTTCCACTACAGATATATAATTTGAGCATCATGGTGTGTGTCTGTGCGAGTGCACATCGTCAGCGTAGACTACGACGACGACGAGACTTTCCAGTGGAGAATTTTTCACACGTTCTATCTCTGCACGCTTGCGAGTTCTTCTTTTTTTTTGCATAATTTCACTCGTCCTCGCAGTTGTCATCGTGGTTGTCGTTGTCGTGAAAATATTTGTCGCTCTCATTTTCGAGTTTCATAATTATTCATCGTGCACATTCATTTATACTTTTTCTCGTCAAAGAGAAAAGCGTTATCATCGCCGCTGCAGTAGCAGCAGTCGCATTATTATAATATAAGCGGCAAAGTTTCTGAAAACAAACTGCTATGAAAACTTTTAATTCGTCCGGTTAAAAGCGATCGCGATATATGTATATGCGGCACGTAGCTGCGCGCGCTATTTCGCTCGAGCCATCCGGTCACGCTCCAAAAAATATTCCCTTCGCGCGCTGCGCGAGACAGATAGATAAACGGGAAAAACTTCTGTCCCTTTCTCGCCCCCTAAAAGTATAACGATCGAACACGTAATACTATATTGGCTCTAGCATAAGCTCTTATTTGGCACTGTGTGGCCTATGTAGTGCTCGAATGAAGTTTCAATCCAATGTAGTAAATAAATGCACCAAGGCGCCGCGGCAGCAAAAAAATCCAAAGGCATGTTTGTGTGTGCCGATCGGCGAGTGAGTGAACGCGAGAGTCACGATATGCGAGCCAAACGTAATCGTTTATATATATATGTGTGTGTGTGTGTGTGTGTGTGTGTGTGTGTGTGTGTGTACGCGTCGTATAAAATGAACATTGGCATTTCGCCGCGCGAACACAAAATCCTACTTCGAGCGCGCACTCGACGACGACGGCGACTTCTTACGTTACTTTTAATAACCGTCCAGTTCCAGTGAGCGCAGCGTGTGTATAGTAACGCGTGCATGTGCAGGCCTCTCTTATTAGATAACCGTGCGCGCGAGAAAGTGCGCCATTACCGATATATACGATCACACGTGCAGCGCACATCCGCGCACACGGCGGAATAATACTCGTGCAGTGAAGTTGAAAAAAAAAATTGTTTTACTCAAGACTCAAAATTACAAACCTATATAAAGCGCATTATACGTATGAAATTTCGGATGTTATGCGCGGACACCGTAAAATAAATATAGGAGCAGCTCGTCATTGCCGGCACGTTACGGAGGAGGACTTCTGCCTATACCGCGATACAAGAGTGTGTCGTACTGACGCGCAGGCTAATCAAATTTGAGGCCTCGTATCTCGATATATGTTTCCTGGCGCGGCGCACAGAGAACAGTAGCAGCATTATATTCATGAAAAATCGAGCGGTGCTGATTAAAAAAACAACAATAATAATAGCGTAATGAGCACAGAGGCGAGAAGCTGCTGCTGCTGCTACTGCTTTGCTTGCTGTTGCGACACAAAGCGCGCTCGCTCGCGTTGGCAGCGGCGATAAATTTTGGAAAATTATTTAGATTAATTATCAAGTGAGTGTGACATCCGTCGAAAAGAAAGAGAGACAGAGAGTAGAACAGCGATTCAAAACACGAGTCACAGTTGAACAATCGGAGTGCTTGCGCGCGGCAGGGCGCACACCGATGGATTATTAATGTTATAAACATCGCGTAATGAGTAATATCGCGATGATAAAGCTGCTTTTACTGCGATTTGCGCGCGGTGGCTTGCACACACACACGCATACACGATCTGCGACGATCGTTGCGCCTCGTCTCAACATCAGTCATTGAATAAAAGTTTCGTCTTAAAAAATAGTCGACCATTTCATCGGTAATAATAATGCTGCTCGTTTTTCATCAAATATTGTACTCAATGTACTACATTCTCGAGTCAAGTATATTTCAGGAATAGGTCAGAAAGAAAAGAGGTACCCGCCTTCACCGCGACGATATATTTTTATCCTCGCGCAAAATAACAACAAACGCAAAACAACAGCTGGATAATTCAAATGTGCCCGCACGAGCTAACAAAGATAAAGTATGCAGCGAGCTTTAAATTTCAAGAGCTATATACTTATGAATCGCGCTCGAGTTCTCGCACGCGCAGCTTTCGCGTCGCGAGAGAGAGAGAGAGAGAGCGAGCTTTTTCTTTGTAGCAGATGAGACACTGCTGCTGCTTTATTTTTCAGATTTTCCGCTAATATACTCGCTTTGCCTATCCTGCGTCTCTTTCTAATGCTACCTTAACGTATATAATATACATGTATGGTGAAGCAACGCGGCAGCGTCACAAGCCCGTGCAGACGAGAGCGAGTGAGCGTCGTCGTCGTCGTCGTCGAGAACGTGTACGATAAAGTTTTCAAATTAACGTTTCAACTATGTCAGGCCATAAGCACGAGACGAGAGAGAGAGACGATGATGACATTATGAATGAAGCAATTTATATATCGTACATACAATAAACGTGCATATGCTGTGTGAGGGAGTAGCAGCTACTGCTGCTGCTACTGGTACTACTAGCATTACTACAAACAGCGACTGACCGATGTCGAAATTTTAACACGGGCCTTCTTACTTCAGCAACGTTAGGTAAAAAAACAACGCTTGCTTCATTATTGCTGTAACGACACGAGGTTAAATGACAATTTCTACCTGTGCTCGAGTCGCTCGGTTGCGCGCGCGCACGAGAGAGCAAGAAAAACTTGCACGAGGCGCGGCTGCCACCAAGATCAAGTGCACTGAACGCGCCAGATAAAGTGTGCGGTGCTTTTTCTTCTCTCGGCCAAGCTCTCTCTGTACTGTGTGCAGTACGAGGCTATCGATTATTAAACGGGGGTGAAGGAGGAGGAGGAGGAGGACGCGTGCACCGGAGTCGTGCTAGTAAAATCGTGTCCTCTAAAGAAAAAAATAGAACTATGCACGATACATTTTTACCCTTTGGCAGGCCTAAATATATAACAACAAACGATTCTGACGTCGAATTAAATAATATCAGAGAGAGGCGTCGATCGATACGTACGTGCACCATATCGCATGCTGCACGTTTTATAGTAGGTGATTGATAAAATATCGATACAAGAGCGAAGAGAACACATGACTTTGCAGGCATCTTCGAGTAGCAGCAGCTCACGGACGGAGGCGGTGGGATTTTAAACTCAAAAGAAGAGCGAGAGAGAGGAAAGCACAAAAAAAGTTTCAAGGTCGCACAGATCGCGCGCACGACGCACACACACAACCGTGAGCACGCAGAGCGAAATTCGATAAAGGGTTAGAGGGGGCTTAGCTTAACATTATTATTATACAATTAAATAAAGATGCATTTATAAGTTAAACTCACAATCCAAGTGTTTCTTCTTGGGTCCGATCATCTCCTCGGTGGTGGCCTTGCAGACGGCCTTGGCCAAGCCCTGGCCAGCGAGACTGTGCCTGGCAGCCAAGAGCCTGTCGTTGATCGTCTGGCCCGCCATTTCGTGCCTCCTCTTTCTTCTTTTTTAACTTCTTCTCTCCTCTACAATGTATCGCACGCACGCGTAAAATACGTTAATTCACTGTGGCAAAGCCTTCCTCGTTTTATTGTTGTTTTCTTTTTATTAATAAAGTATGCAATACCTGCGGCTGATTCAAGAGTCTCTTCGATTTTTTGCCTCGCAACGATGTGAGAGACGATGTGTATTACTATGTAATAACCACTATATCACAATGTGCGTGCGCGAAAACTCACTCGATCACCTTTAAACAGCACAAGAAGGAAAAAATTCTGATATGATGAATCAACACTATTATAAACGAAACATTTTATTTAATTTTATTTTTTTCTTTGATTTTTTGCTTTCTGCTACGAGAGCAAGTGAAACACCTCGCGCGATTTCGTTGGCGTGCTTGTGTCGCGCGCACTCACATAAATACACCCAGACAGACATACGATACTTACACACATTCATGCACACACAAACACCACCTTTCGACACTCTCCGTCTGTCTGTGTATTATATGCTTGTATTATATACGCGCACACGCTTGTGTGTCTTCAGCCTGTGATTAGTACAGGTAGCTGTGGATACTAGATTACATTATTACGCGCATGTACGTGTGCGAGTCGCTGTTTAAGTATGTATTGTATTTATCGCGACGGTGTATCTTGTCTTGGATGCAAGTGCAAGTACATCGAGTATCGAGTACCGCACACGAATGCGAGAGGAAAAAAGTCAACTGTGTGTGTGTGTGTGTGTGTGTGTGACAGTAAAGCGTCGAGAGTGAGCCACAGTCCGTGTAAGTGTGTATATAAGTGTAAGTATATATGTAAGTAATAATCGCTCACAGTCAGACAGAGTCAGACAGTCACACTCACAATCTCAGCACGAGGCAGCAGCGGAGCCAGAGAGCGCGACTTATCGACGTGTCTCTTCTTTGCAACAAAAAAAAAAGAGAAAAAAAGTCGAGATTTCAAGTATAATTATACTATACGCGTTTGGAATGAAAGGAAAAAAAACTGGTCGACTCCGAAAAGCACATCTTCAATTATTTGCGGCTTTTTGTCCGCTAATCTAGCCCCCCTTTAAACAGCTGCAAGCACACATATTATATACACATACACACACATGTGTAACACACCCTACACAGAGAGAGATTTTTTCGGTGTTATAAAACAAAAACACTCTCGCGAGCGCGGGGTTGCTGCTGGGCACACGCAGAGAGAGAGAGACACGGGCACGCCGAGAAATGCACTCTCGAATTCTCACGGCTACACACGCACACGAACACAAGCACGATTACGACGAATCGCTGCTGCTGCTGCTACTGTTGCGGGTATTTAAAAGGGAGTTGCTGCTGCTCCTGCTTGTGTATATATTACGATATGTGGACGGCGATGTTGTATGCTACACACGTTATATCCGACATATAAATATACAGCAGCAGGCACATACACACACAGAGAGATATGAGATATCGTATACACATACGCGCACAGATATGATATATTATATGTTTTATATTATTAAGAGAGGATATGTAGAGAGGCACGCGCGCACACACTAGCACGGAGCAGCACACGACGAGAGAGGCAGAGAGCTGCAACTCACCACGGGGGTTGCTTCTCTTTCGGAGCAGCAGATACTCTCTTTCCCTACTATACTCTGCGAATTTTAGATATGTAATGATTATGCATATGCGCGAAAGTGACTTTACACGTTGAAAGAAGAAGATAAATTGTGTGCAGTCGATAACGACGATGATGTGTTGTATATGTCGTCGACGTCTACGTCGTCGTCGTCGTCGTCGTCGTCGCCTACGCTCGCGTCCTCCGGGGGCCGACTGACTGACTGACTACTACTGTGGCGGCGACGGCGGCGGCGGTAACTTCGCGCTGCTGCTGCTCCTCTCTCTCTCTCTTTCTCTCCGTCTCTCGCGAAATTGCCTGAGCTGCTATCTTTGCGTTGCTGCTGCTGCTGCTGTTACACTCTCTATCTCTTTCTCTTATGCTAGATGTTGTGCGTGCGCTGCAGCAGCGCGAAACGAAGAGACTCGTGCACACATTCGCGTTTTATATATTTTATGTACTTGTATATGTATAGATATGTACCTAGTGCACGAAACACATGTATACACGGGAGGCGCACCGAGCAACACACTGACTGCTGCTGCTATTCCTCTGACACACAAAACTTTCAGCACTAGACGTTTCTGCAACGCAGAGTTTTGCGCTGCTATCTTTCTCTCTTTCTCTCTCTCTTTCTCTTTTAGCAGGCGCTGCTTATGTGCTTCGCGTTTGCGGCGGCGGCGGCGGCGTTCGATCGACTGAGCTCTGCGCATACTCTTTTACCGAGCGCTGCTTTACGCACACACATACACACACACACTGAAATACAGTTGAGCGAATGTATGTTCAACACATATAATACTAGCAAAACGAAGCACACAGGTATATTGAGATGTGTGCGAGGCGCGTACGGACTGCGCGATGCGGCGATTATCCTCTGTGCCCTTTTGTATAGCGACAGTCCGCGCGATCGATGAATGAAAAAATCGGCATGCACCAAGATTTTCCAAAATGAATCATCAGCTCGGAGCAGTTTTTATGCGCGCATAAATTCTTCGTGCCAATCCATCTATGCATAATACAGCGCAAGGTATCGCTTATCGATTTTGTTTCGTCACTGCTGATGTGTGTGCGAGCGAGCGCGAGAGAAAGTATAATATAAAGGGACCTTGACGCATCGCTGCTGCTGCTGATATGCATGCACGTGCGAACAGCGAATCATGCACTCACACATACTTACTTTTAATATACATTCACCGAGAACATTGCGATGTGAATTCGCGCACGCTTGCGTGTTGCGCGATTTGCGCGCCATGACGGCTAGATAGATTGCGGAGCAGTGGAGTAAAGAATGTGTTGTGAATCTTTGGAGCAAGATGGCGGCACCCGGCGTGCGCTCACGGTCGATTGCAATAAGTATACAGTCGGATTAACGGTTTAGTGCGGCTCTACAATGATGCGATGCATTAATGCTACCTGGTTTGCGGTATTTTCTGCTAGTGCACAACTGCCACCGCTCGTGCGGCACTGTAAGCCATGACCTCATAGTAGAGAGAGACTCCGAATTCGTTCGTCTGCTACTCAAAGCGAATAACGTGTTTGAATTGTCTCGTATCTTTTGACAGTTCGCTTGCTATTATTTGTAATCATTTTTATTTTATAAATTGATGATGAATGTAGGACTTGATGATTAATTGATCTTTTTGCTGTCACCGAGCAGTAAGTTTATTATATTGACTTTTAGGAGTGTAAAAGTATTTCTTTGATGTTGTTTGTATGTTGATGTGTACAGTTTAAAGTGTCAAACAAATGAATTGATTGTTTGGATGTTGAATTGAAAATGATATTTGGCTTTTTAATTTGGCAGGTAAAACACTGTTTACAAGAAATCAAAGATTAGCAACTGAGTAATTTAAATATTAAACAATGATTTCAGGTGTGTTATAAATTTTATACATACTCTATAAATGCTTGATATTTTTACATTTACAGACCTTTTTTTCTTTGCAGGCACTCAATCTATTCAATATTTTGAACAAATAACTAAAGCAAATAAAAAATATTTATCACAATTGTTTATACGTTCAAAATCTCATAAAGTTAAAACAGAAAAAGTAGAAACCTGTAGTGAAGATCTTAGTGTTGAAACACTAATCAACTCTTTAAAAAAACAAGTAGAGCCTCCAAATGCTCAAGATTTAAAATCACAAAACATTATTGTGGAATTTAGTTCACCGAACATAGCCAAACCTTTTCATGTTGGTCATTTACGATCAACTATAATTGGAAATTATGTAGCCAATATAAATAACTTTTTTAAAAACAATGTCACAAGAATTAATTATTTGGGTGACTGGGGTACACAATTTGGTTTTGTTCAATTAGGCCTTTCTCTGGCAAAGATACCAAAAGAGACCATTGAGAAAGATCCTATAAATTCTCTGTATCAAGCATATGTTCATGCAAATAAATTGACAGAAGAAGATCCTACTATTGCTGATGAAGCAAGAAAGCTATTTTCAAAGTTGGAGAATGGAGATGAACAGACAGTGGCTGAATGGGAAGCCTTCAGAAAGTACACCATCAATGAGTTACAAAATACATACCAAAGAATAAATGTCAAATTTGATGCATATGAATGGGAATCATCATATGGTATTAGTAAAATAACTAATGTTTTGTCACAAATGGAAAGCTTAAATATTCTCACATTGGATGACAAAAATAGAAAAGTAATTCATTTGAATGAAAAGAAAGCGGTTCCTATCATCAAAAGTGATGGGTCTTCACTATACATCACGAGAGATATTGCTGCTGCAATAGATCGTCATCAAAAATACAATTTTGATGCAATGTATTATGTTGTAGATAATGCTCAAAGAGATCACTTTAAAAATTTAATGAGTATTTTACATTCTATGAAGCTACCCTGGGCTGATAAATTAAAGCACATCAATTTTGGTAAAATCAAAGGTATGAGTACAAGGAAAGGAACAGCAGTATTTTTACAAGATATTCTAGATGAGACCAAATGTGTTATGAGAAAACAACAACTTGAAGCTAAAAGTAAGTCAGATTGTTATTTAGATGTAACAAATAACATTTGAAAAAACTAATAATTAAATTTTTTTCAGATACCAAAGTTAATTTAGACATTGATCATCCAAGCACTGAAGTTCTTGGCATATCAGCAGTAATTGTCAATGATTTAAAACACAAAAGAAATCAAGATTATGAATTTGACTGGAATACAGCTCTTGATGTAATACATTGCTCTACTACTTTATTTTATAATTTTACTAATTATTAACAAATATTTTTTTAAATTTATATTGCAGATCAAAGGAGATACAGGAGTAATGATGCAATATGCTCATTGTAGATTAGTTAGTCTAGAAGAAAATTCGGGAGCTATAATTGCATCAGAGTGTGACCCCTCTTTTCTCAAAGAACCAGAAGCTCAAAATCTTATTTTGCATATTAATAAATTTGAAGGAGCTATTGCCAGATCATATAGAGAACTCGAACCTTGCCTTTTGGTTCATTACTTATTTCAATTAAGGTAAATACTTTCCATAATCTCTAAATCCTAAACTACTTCAGATAAATAAAATGTATGTTTTTTTCAGTCATTCAATCAGCAGAGCCTTCAAAGTGCTTAGAATAAAAGGAGAACCAGCTGATGTAGCTAACCAGAGGCTCTTGCTCATGCATGTTGCTAGAAGAGTTCTTGGTCAGGGCATGAGGCTACTTGGCATACAGCCTCTAGACAAAATGTGATTTGTTACAAATGAACTGTTGATTGTTTATAGTTTTTTTATCTAATAAGAAAAATTTTTTACAATAAACACGATGATAAAAATTCGTATTGAATGTCAATTGTTAACAAAAATTAATAACACCTCTCGGCTAACGCGCTTTCCAAGTGAACTTCCTTCTGGCTCCCTCTTGACCTGGCTTCTTGCGCTCGCGTCTTCGCCAATCTCTCGTGAGTAATCCAGCTAAAATTTGAAGAATAGAGATTGTGTTTAAACTCAATTAAAAAAGAGTTTTTTTTGTTTGATTCACGCATCTTCTTACCTATTCGCATTTTTTCGAGAGTAGCTCTGTCGACGAAACTGCGAAGAGCCCAAGCGATGCCCCAGCGTATGCATCCGGACTGACCGGTGGGTCCACCGAACCTTACTGTCGCCTCGACATCGACCTGATCCATGAGCTTCGTGAATTGCAGAGGGAAAATAATCTGGAAAAAGTTCATTTACGGGTATTAGCATACAGGATCGTGATAATCGTTCGAAAATAATAATCTAATAAATGTTGATATGTTGACTTGACTTGATATTTGACAATTTTCAATACTTGAAAGAAGTAGAAATTTATTCAAATGTAAACTCCAGACAAAATACGTGAGAAGCAGCAATGCTGGCAGGAATTAATTTGCTTCGTACTGTTGCTCGATCAGCGATTCGAACCGGCGAATCTAAACGCTACAGAGTATACAGGAAGTAAATACGTGCAGTAAAGGTAAATAACAATAATCGTTCGGTATTAAAAAATGTATTATATTTCATAATGCTATTGTTGACTGCTTGAAACATTATGAATTTTACATGTATGTGTTGCTGCCCATCGTCTAACCTGTTTTTCATAAAAATTTTGAAAGTTATACGTTACAAAAATGCTTGTACCATTCTATCCTAATCATAATTGTTCATAAAAAGTATTTTACAATCTCACTTGTAACTTTTATCGTATATAAAATCTGTAATGCTAATCGAAAAACATATGTAAATTAATCGATAAAAATGTCGAATGACAAGAAAAGGAAATAAAATTTCAATAAAATCAGTTGGACAATTGTATAGAAAGTGAAAGGCATCGCGCATCCAAGAAACATTTTCAGTTGGCAAATTTCTCAGTTGACGCAGCTCAGCACGTGACACGAGCGACTGGCGCGCGCGCCTTCCTTCACCTTGTCCTCTGAACCTTGGCCACGAGATTCTTGAGCAGCTTGTTAGTATCCAGCACTTGTTCGCGTATGGCCTTGATGTCGTCCTCGCGCATCGACTTGATCTGCGTGCAGAGCTGGTCGACGGTCGTGTGCAGCTGCTCGCCGCAATTGAAGTAGCAGCAGTCCTCGCCGCCGGCGCCGTTGTTCTCGTGCTGATGCTGCTGCTTCATCCAGCTCGCGTGCTCGCTCAGCTGACTGACGTGGTCGTCCTCGTCGACGAGGGGTGCGTTGCGCTGGGCAATGGCGTAGGCCGCCTTGAGTATGTCCTTGGGCAGTCGCTTCTCGAGAGGATTCAGCGGCTTGACCACGAGTATGTTGCGTCGGCCGCTGTTCTCCACGTCGATCTTGTGGTCGCACATCCACTTCTTGAAGGTGTACGGTATGCGGCCGTTGTACAGCACCATCTCGGTGAATAATATGAGCTTGGTCTGGCGTACGAGCTTGGTCAAGCCTGCGTGATTGCGCAGTCCCTGGATGTCGTGCACCGCGATGCCCACCAGCAGATTCATCAGGATCACCGTGACGAAGACGATGAACAGGGTGAAGAGTATCTGCGAGCACACCGACAACGGATGATAGAGCACGAACGAGCCGTCGTGTATTATGTCGTCCTGATTGATCAGACCCTCGAAGTCGAGCTCGCCGGCCATCATGGCGAGCACCTTGATCAAGCCCGTGAACGGATTGCCGAACGACGGCTCCCCCACGAAGATGACGCAGAAGCTGATGGTGAAGCCGATCAGCAGACCCGAGTAGGCCAGCAGCAGCTTGGCGAACTCGAACTGTATGTGGGTGAACATGGCGACGTAGGTGCCGAACGCGGGCAGCTGTCCGACCATCAGCATGAGATTCGTCCAGGCGCAGAGGATGGCGAAGGCCCCCACGTAGTTCTGCCAGTCGTAGGTGCGACCGGTGTAGATGAAGGACGTGACGAAGACGCTCACGACGACGATGGTGTCGAGGACGTTGTCGATGTTGGTGAAGTACTGGCGGGCCGACTTGTAGACCATGAAGCCGAAGATCTTGCGAGGGATGGTGACGCAGGTGAGGAGCACGGTGGCGTACCACTCAATCTCGATCACGTGACGGCGAAACAGAAAGCCCGACAGGCGCTTGTTGTTGCAGATCTTGGAGCTGTTGGCCTCGAGGTTGTAGCACTTGTAGGCCAGTGCCGTCAACACGTAGGTGGTCATCATGATGACCGTGAGCGCGTACAGAAAAATCCGCATCAGGTAGAACTTGCGTATCTTCTCCCACTTGAGGTGCAAGAAAGCCATGACCAGCGGGTGGGAGAGCAGGTCCTTCTGGTGCTCCTGCACGAAGGTGTTGATGAAGCTGGTCTCGCACTGATTGTTCGAAGGGAACAGCAGATCGAAGTGCAGCCTCATCTCGAACTCGCGATTGTGAGGCACGGGCCGTTTGAGCCGGATCGAGGCGTCCAGCCGCTGCCTGAAGATCTGCAGCGACTCGGGGATCTTGCGCAGAATGATGTTGAGCGCCGACAGGCCCGCCTTGGTGGTGGCGCTCACGTCGGCGCCGGCCCAGATCAGGGCGTCGGCGCACTGCGACTGCTCGTTCAGCGAGGCGATGTGCAGCGGCGTGAGCTCCTGCCGGTCCTTGACGTTGCACGCGGCGCCGTACTTGAGAAGCAGCTCGACGAGCTCCGCCGAGGACCTGGCGTGCATCACGCAGTAGTGCAGGGGCGTGCGGCACTGCTGATCGACGCAGTTGGCGTCGGTGCCCGGCGCCTGGAGCAGCATCTCGGCGCAGCCGACCGACTGAACGTAGCAGGCCACGTGCAGAGCCGTCTCGCCCAGGTGATTCTTCTGGGCGACGCTGGCGCCCCGATCGAGCAGGACGCGCACGACCCGCTCGGAGCGAGCTCGGACCGCCGAGTGAAGCACGGGCTCGATCTCCTGCTGATAGGCGGCCCCGTTGAGCTTGGCGCCGCTCGAGATCAGCAGCTCGCTCGCCTCCACGGAATCGTTGAAGGCCGCGAGGTGCAGCGCCGTGTAGAATATGCTGGGATTGGCGTAGTTCACGTCGGCCCCGCGCTCGATCAGGTACCTCAGGCAGTCGAGCTGATTGGCCAGGGCCGCCACGAGGAGGCCGTTCATGCCGGTCGAGGGCTCGACGTAGTCTCGATCGGCGCCGCACTTCTCGAGTTTGGCCAGCAGCTGGACCAGGCCGCGAAAGCACGACCACAGGAACATCATGTTCTTCAGTCTTTGATCCGCCGTCAGCAGCGCTATGAGATTTCCCTTCTCCAGCTCGACGAGGCTGCGCATCTCCACGACGTTGACCGAGGCCCACAGGGCCGTCTTCAGATTCGTGCCGTCGATCTTCACGTGCTTGAGGGCCTCGAGCTCGTGATCGAAGAACAGCGAGTCGTCGACGGGCGGCGGCGTGCCCGCGTCGATCTCCTCGTTGCTGCTCACCGCACCGTCCAGTCCACCGGCCTCCAGGATGATGGACTTGTCGTTGCCGGCCGTGTCCGGACAGAGCGATAAGGCGCGCAAGCCGCGCTTGTACTTGTAGAAGGACGCGGGACGCTTGCGGAACAAGAGATCCCGTGGAGGTGCGCTACGAGCCTCGTAGATGCAGCCCACGGAGTAGTGCCGAGGTTTACCTGCCGCGACGCAGCCATTGCTCTGCTGCTGCGGCTGAGCTGATGGCTTTAAGCTTATATTATTGTCCTTGACGCTAGCCGCCGCCGCCGCCGCCGCAGCAGCTTCGTTCGACTGATCCGCGTCCAATTGTTCGCGGACCATGTCGCTGAGCGTCCACGAGCGCGACATCTCGTTGTCGTGTGGATTCGTCCTCGTTGACGTAGCTTCTTGAATGAGAGAAACACTTTGCTCAGTCGTTAATTCGTAGAGGAGTAGAGTTTTTTTTTTCTTCAATTTAAACATGATCGCGGAGCACGATTCGTGAAATCGTTACTGGTAGTAAGCTAGTGTAACTTAAAGTTAAGTGTACAATTACTCGCCAAAAACGATAAAAAAATAGAACATATTTTCCCCCTCGACTCTCGTGCGGCGAATCAATCAAGATTGGTGAATTTTCTACAACAGATATTTACCGCGGATATCATTTTCATTTGCGTCAGAAGCGCGTCGACGCGTGTACGAAAAAAAACACGTAATCTCTGTACGCGTAGTGCTTTCTACTTTGCTTCGAGGCCCTTCGATCGTGCTCCACTCCATCGGTGCAATTCAATGCGACAATCAATTATAATCAATTATTATTATACAAACCTGCCAAAGTCTACAAACAGCGATTAGTAGCGTTTTATCGGTTTATTAGACCGCACATCTTGAATCAACTATATTCGTCGTTGTTTCCTTTTGTATCATTCGTTTAGAATAGCAGTTCAATAATACGCACATGTTGAAATATGTCACCTTAGACTGATGATGATGTTGCTGTAGTAGCTGCTATATCTGCTGCTGCACGACAGTAGGCGCGCACCACTCAGCGTCATCGTGATTTTGCGCGCTTTATAATACACCGCCAAACGCGCTACGAGCTGTGCAAGCTCGTTTCAGCCACTTTATAAGAGTGTGTCATTACGGCACGCGCATTGAGAAGATAGGATCCGACCAGCCAACCACCTCCCCCACCACCGCTCCTCCCTTCGCCGCTCTTCTTTTTATTGAAATTTTTTTCTTACTTGTCCCTTTCGTCGACGCGCACTACTGTGCAATGATCGCCGGACACGACGAATGTTCGACGCGTTAAACTGCAAGCTCTGCGTAGCGAGTCTGCGAATCAGAATGAATCTTGTCGCTGCTCGCACCTGAGCTTTTTTTTAAGAGGCGGAGAGTCAATTTTTTGTCATCGTTGTATACCTTTTTTTGTTCTTTTTTTTGTCGTAACGAAACGTTTTCATCAATCAATCTTAACTCTCCACTTTCTGTATAATTAATCGATAAACACATTGAGCACTTTAATCCCGATCACGAGTATATGTACTTTAATGCGCGGTGATTACGCGATAAAGTTCACGATTTGTCTGCAATCTCCGATCCCCTCGCGGTTAAATGGTATTAATGCAACGTAATTAGGAGAAAAATTTCGAGAATATGTTTACGTTTCGTTTCTCTATCTTCAAATTATTATAATTCGACAATCTTATCGGGTGCTGCGATTTATATCAACTGCACGCGGAACACGAGTAGCCGAGGAGTAATTTTATACTATGAGGAAAATAAAGCAACAATACAAACACCAAAATAAAAACACTCGCACTCGCGATTTGAATCTGTCGAAAAATCGGCAACTACTTCGGTATTTATAAATGTCGCTCATCGTGTTTTGTCAAACGCAGGGTTGGTGGTGGGAGATCGAAGGAGACAACTGCTACTGGTCACGCGCGTTAAAATCTATTGTACTCCGCGCGCGCGCACACACCTCGTTAAGTATTCAACGAATGATTTTTGCGTACGAAAGCCTTCGGCCTTTTTATACATGCAAATTGTGAGCTGCTCGAGAGGTGTGTGCGTGCGAGCTTAGCACCACCATAAAGTACGCGTCGATAATAATGTGTGGCGTGTGCTGGCGAGAAGCTCAAGGATAGCGCCGTTTCGGAAATGCACGTATCGATAAAAAATTCACGTCGAGGATCAAGGTATCGGTCACGTATCTTCGACTTATCGGATAGTAAAACAACATCAATATGTGCTGTATACTTAGTATTTATAATCGCTGCGTGCTGCTGATCTGTCGTAACTTTTCAGAGATTCGTTTGTTGCTGCAGAACACAGATATCGCGTGTACGGGATTGATTTCGATCGGACGTTAATCAACTTGTTTCAATTTTATTTCAAATATAATTTTCATTGTAAAAAATAATATACAAAGGCATACATCGAGAGTGTCTTAGACGGCTAAAGTTTTCTTTCTTGTTTTTTGAGCATTCGTTTAATTTTTTCTGGTTAAAGTTTTTCAATTTGTCTTTCGAGTTTTATAATAAACAGTCATTGAAATCGATATTATATTCATCACAATAATAATAGCATAAAAATGGAAGACTCTAATATTGTACTTTTTCCCGTATAAAGTCTTTGAATGCCATTTAAAATTGTCTATATTTTTACAAATTAAATTTTACTTTATTATAATATATTTACACTGTACAAAATTTAAATCCCCACTCACGCGTTTTAATTACATCGCTATATTTTCTATGTATAAGCTGATCGTAAGTATTACAAAGTATCATAAATTCTACTAATCGCTAAAGCAGGTAATTTTGGCACTTGTTAACTTTCTTTTTTTCGTCGCATTACTCGACAACTTAAAATTACATTCTAACGTTAATATTAAATTTCTTTGTACAATTGTCAGAAAGAACAACGACTATAACACAAGCCTTAGATTTATCATTAAAAAATAAGAAGAAATGGTAACGCAAAGAGAATATCATTTAGTACTGGATAAAGACCTAAGCAGCTCGTGTATGAGCTTGTTGTTGCTCTCGCACATCTTCTTGAGCTCCATGACCTCTTCCTTGAGTTTGGCCGCCACCTCGAAGACGGCTGACTCCTGTTCCAGGTGCTGCTGCTGCTGTCTTCCTCCGTATCGACGCATCGACGAGTTGATATCGTACTTCCAGCCGTAGCCTACGATCGAGTTGGCTGTGTTATTGCTCTGTTTGGCTCCGGTGGTCAGTTGGCTGCTGGTCTTGCGCTCGCGTCCTACTTTGTAAGCACTGGCGAGCACGTCGCGGGGCAGTCGCTTCTCGCGCGGATTCAGCGGGCGCACCGTGAGTACGGCCTTGGGCCGCTTGGGCATCACCACGGCCGTCCAGTGCAGCATCTTCCTCAGGCACTGCGGCATGCCGACGTGCAGCGCCGTCTCGAGGTCGCAGATGAGCTTGGTCTGCCGGACGAGCTTGGCCAGGCCCGCGGTCTTTTGCAGGCCCTTGATGTCGTGCACGGCTATGCCGACCAGCAGATTCATCAGAACGATGGTGACGAACAGCAGAAACAGGACGAAGGACAGCTGGGCCGAAACCTGCAGCAGTATCCAGGAGGTGCCACCGACGTCCACGGGTCTCACGCCCTCCATCTCCTCGGGGAAGAAGAGATCCTCGAAGTCGAGCTCGCCGGTCATCATGACCAGCACCTTGATCAGGCCCGTGTGCGGACTGCTGAAGGACTTGGAGCGCGGAAATATCACGCAGAAGCTCGCCGTGAAACCAACGAGCAGACAGGCGTAGGCCAGCAGAAGCTTGAACACCTGCGCCTGGACACTGGTGAACATGGCGACGTAGGCGCCGAACATGGGCAACTGGCCGATCATCAGCATGAGATTGGTCCAGCCGCAGAGTACGGCGAAGGCACCGACGTGGCTCTGCCAGGTGTGGGTGCGACCGGCGAAGACGAACGAGGTGGCGAACACACTGAGTATGACGCACCACTCGACCATGTTCTCGGCCTGCGTGAAGAACTGCCTGATGCTCGAGTAGGTCAGTATGCCCAAAAGCTTCCTCAGGGCCTCGAGCACCGTCAAAGACACCAGTATCCACCACTCGAAATCCAGCACCAGAGGATGCTTGTACAGAAAGCCGTTGACGCCCGTGGAGTTGGCGCAGAGGGGTCGGCTCGAGTTGTCCAACTGGCCGTGCGACTCGTTGTAGCAGTTGTGCGCCAGGGCCGTGATCACCCAGGTGGTCAGCACCAGCACGTACAGCAGATAGAACAGCAACCTGCCCACGTAGTACTTGCGAATCTTTTGCCACTTTAAGTAGAGAAAGGACTGGCAGAGGGGATGCTCGAGGATCTCCTTGTAGCCCTCCTTGACGAAGATGCCGAGGTAGCCGATCTCGCCGCGCTGCTGGCTCTGCAGCAGCGGATGAAAGTCCAGCCTCAACTCGACCTCGCCCGACGCCGAGCCGTGCTGGTGCAGACTGATGGAGGCGTCGAGCCTCTGCTTGAACCAGTTCAGCGACGAAGGCGTCTTCCTGAGGATGATGCTGAGGGCAGTGGTGCCGCCCTTTGTCTTGGCGCTCAAATCGGCGCCGTGCTGTATCAGAATGTCGACGCACTCCGAGAGCTCGTTGATCGCGGCCAGATGCAGCGGAGTGTAGCCGTACTTGTCGGCTCTGTTCACCCGAGCCTTCCACGTGATGAGGGTCTCGGCGACGTCGTAGGTCAGGGGCGAGCGGCCCATGGTGACGTGGAGGGCCGTCTTGCCCTCGCTGTCCTCGGCGTCGATCTCGGCCGAGGAGTGCTGGAGCAGCGCCTCGACGCACTCGAGCGAGTGGGTGCGCGAGGCCAGATGCAGGGCAGTCTCGCCCCGGTGATTGCGCAGCGAGGCGTTGGCGCCTTTTTTCAGGAGCAGCCCGAGGGTGTCGGCACAGCCGCACTTGGCCGCCAGGTGCAACGGAGTCTCGCCTTTGCGGGTGCTCACGTCGAGCAGGCAGCCGCCCGCGGCCAGCAGGATCTCGAGGCCCTCGGAATCGGCGCGATCGACGACGTAGTGTATGGGCGCCCAGCCGCAGTTGTCCAGACGATTGATCCAGGCATTTTTTGGGGCGAGTATTCCGAGGACGTCGTGGGCACCGTTTCTCGCGGCCGAGTGAAGCACCGTCTCCTCGCCGGGGATCGGCGACTCCTGGCTCCAGCAAAGCTGCTGAAAGTGCCGCGCGACGTCGGCGGCGTTGCCGAAGCCGGCAAAGTGAAAGGGCGTGTGGGCCTTCTTGGCGTTGAGATTGATAACGTGATTGAGCAGGTACTGCACGCCGGATAAGCAGTTGCTGAAGGCGCACAGGTGCAGGGCGGTGACGCCCAGCTCGGGCTCCTGATGATTGAGATCGGCGCCTCGGGCGTGTATGCGGGGCAGCAGCTCGCCCAGTCCGAGGAAGCTGGCGTAGAGCAGCAGGGCGTCGAGCTCGTGGGGTGGTTTGCAGCCGTCCAGGAACTTGTCCGCCTGCTCGAGGTCTGAGCACTTGCCCGCCTCGAGATCGTCGAGCAGCTGCAGTCGACAGCCGAGGCCGCGAGCGTGCTCGACCAGGAGCGTCTTGAGATAGTCGCGACTGATCTGCACGGCGCACTGCTGGCCCTCGTCCGAGACCGAGCTCTCGCACGTGTAGTAGCAGTGCGGCTCCTCGATCGGCGGCGGCTTGCCGTAATCCATGCAGTGGCTGTCGTCGTCTTCGTCTTCTTCGTTGTGCTGTTCTTCGTCGCCTCTGCCACCCTCCGACACGGAGTTCTGACGCTCCGAGGCGAGCAACAGGGTCGAAGAAGTGCGGCTTTTGCGCATCAGCGCCATCGTCGAGACCGGCAGTATACTGCTCGAGCTGCGCTTCAGCTCGAGCCTGTTGCGAGTGCTCGGGCTAGTAGCAGCGGCTGCAGTAGGATGTTGCTGCTGCTGCTGCTGCTGCTGCTTGTCGTCGTTGTTGCTGCTCCGCGATTGTGACTCTTCGTCAACGCCATCAGACATGATGGGACTTGGATAGCGCCTTTTTTTATGTATCGCAATTTACTGCAAAGAGAAATTATTATTTTGAAGAAATTCCGTGAGGGAATGAAAAAAATGTGCGCGCGTGCCAACGGATATGACTTTCTGCGGCCGATGATGATTAAACCGAGTGCTTAATTAATTATAAATACTCGATGAAACGCGATATCCACGCGGTAAACAGGTTATTATTGATTTTGCAAAAATTTACCATCCTCGAGGTCGAAATCCATTGACTTTTTGAATGGCAAAAAAAATAATGACGAAAAAAAACTCATGCGTATTTATTCAATTAGTTCATACACAATTGAATGTATTCTTTCTGTCCAGGTTCTCTACAAAGCCGCACGCACGCAATATACACGTCACTTTCTAGCTGCCGCCGAGAGCAAATGTCAATTGGAAAATCGCACATAGACGACTATACGTTACAATCTCGATTCGTATATAAACTCTTGAAACGCGTAGAATTTCAGAGAGGCAAATTTCGAGAAAATGTTTAAATTATTATCCTCAATTAAGTGTCCCGAGTCGAGTACGATTTGTTTTTTCTTTTAAATCACCTTCGTATTGCCGGAAATTTTCATAGCCACTCGCGACGATGAAACATTATTATCCCGCGATGAGCAATCGGATATAATTGAACGCAGCGATCGATAAGATTATTTTCATTTTCCCGCAAACAAATCAAATTTAACAAATAAACGAACGAACAAAAAACTATTTTCCTTGTACTTCACACGATGATACCTTTTAATCGCAATTGAATTATCCCTTTTATCGATCCGAAATGTCACTTGGCGAATCTTCGACCGCACGGAGTGACTTAAAACTTGCGATTGTCGAGATTAACACGATCTTTGGATTAATACTCGATTGATGAATCGAACGCAAAATCTCCCCCTCACTTGTCGATTTCACGATCCCCGGCGAAACATTCGAGCGTCGTCTTCCATAAATTGATTATACTTTTTCTTTTTTCTGCCGCCCAAAATAATAAATGTACGAATCGACAAGCACGACGATGTAGGTGTAACGAATTTTTTTCGCATTAATATCCTAGGCACTCGGAGTGAAACTCAATGGGTATTACAACACACACTCACACACACATTTAAAAAGCGCGCATTGAATCACGTTCGCATTAACAACCTTGAAGTACCAGAAGATCGCACAACAGATAATCACGCTCGCACACAGAAAAATATCGAGACACTTTTTGCACTCATAGATTTTCTGCACCAATTTTCTGTCCTATATAATGTCCTAATCTGCGTGGAGCTACGTCACACTTCCATCCTATATCCCGCGAAGAAAAGTTATCGTGCACGTCGTCGACTGTAAATAGGTGATATAATGAACGAATGCCTGTGTCGTCGCGTGATCAATTACCGACGAATTGCCGCGGTTAAAAATAGCCTTTTGGAAAAATCAGTGCAGTGGTTGTACCTTGGGAGAAAAAAAGTAAAAATTTTTCCGTTTTTTTCCCCAAAAACAACAAAACGAATTGTTTTTGATTTTTTTTTGATTTTTAATAATTCACTGACACTGATACATTGAAATTTAAAATTAATGCTAATTGTGACTAATCGTTGTTCAATAACTTGTAAAATTTCCATCAGAGCGGTGAATTATGTTGAATGGATTTTTAAACCGATACCGAGACAATCAAGTCTAGTATTTCTTGAAATGAACGTCTCGAATTCCAGATCGTTGCCCGCACTTACCCGAGACAATTATGCAATCTCAAATCCGCCAGCAAAAAAAAAATAAACAAAAAAAATTTAAGAATTCTCCAAAGTTCAGCACAAATGAAGAAAAGAAGAAGAAGAACTACAGCGACCTCATGTACGCACCGTACATTCACGACGTAACAATATATCCGTATTAAATGAAAATCACCTTGAGATAAAAGTAACAGCGCAAAACCGATCTATTGACCGATGACATTGTCGCCGTAGCAGTGCTGGCCGATGCTCGGATAGGTAATGCTGGCATCATCGCGAGTGCGCGAGACTATAATGGTATTATAAAACTATCTTGGTCCTGGCTCAACGCGTGCGTTTCTTCGACTGTTGCCGAGCCGCCACCACCGCTGCCACACACTTCATCGAGCAGATATTCGCACACACATACACGCACGCGTTTTGTGCGTTTAATAATCACAAAAGCTTCGGAACATATACCTACCTCGTCGGTAGTGTATGTGTGTGTGCGGGTAAGGCACACATAATGCCCGTTGCTGCTGCACGACAAGTGAAAGAGAGTGAGGGATTCGCGAGCGACTGTAAGCGACCGGTTGAGGCGCACACACACGCATACTCGCAAACTCGGCTGACCGGTGTGTATTTTTCCGTATAATTATAAATACGATATTTATTGGGTTCGTCTGAGAGATTTTGCATACATTATCATTTCCATGCCTATACTGGTTTCGCCTATACTTATAAATAATGGCAAGGGGAAATTTTGCGTGTGAAAAAGAAGACGCTATACCTATTCCCATCGGTAATAGACCGATAGAAAATCCGGCGGAAAGTGTTTTCCGGTTCGAGAATCGGATATTTCCCGCGTCATAGTAGAACGTCACGAAATGTCTGTATTAGACCGCCGACAAATTACAATTACAACAATGAAAGAAAAGTCGCGTATGCACTGGATCGTACTCGTACCTACGCGAATAAAAGTGATTTATGTGGTAACTGATCTACATATTAACCAACTTGATCCTCATAGTCATCGACATCTTTTGAGCAGTCTCCTTTTTTCGTTGAATAATAGGCTTCATTTTTTATTTCATTAAATAAAAGATTTTGAATCCTCACAAAAGCGATAAATTATAAAGGTGGGCGCTGATCGATTCATAAATATTACATATCTTTCATATTTCTTTGTAATAATCCCTGCATGCGAATCGCGTCAAACCCTAAGCGCGTATCCGATTGTGCATTTTGTTCTTCCTATTAGTGACTAGTAGCGATCATTTGCCAGTCGTCGTCAGTCAGTCAGTCACGAGCAATCGGGAGTATTATGTACGAGAGTACCTGAATGAAATCGTCTCGCTCGTTATTAAGCTCACTCGCTCTCGAGCGAATGTCATCGTGCATGTGGAGTCAGAAAAATTCTATTTTCAAAGCGTGTATACCTAACTGCCGTGAACGGAACAGCTATGCGACGACGACGGCGACGACGACGACGACGACGATGATCCTGATATTATACTTAACTTGCGAACGAAATGCGTAACAAGCCGCGTTGTCTTCTCTTTTTTTTCTTGGATAATCGCGTTCGATTACCGATCGGTAAAACAATTGCATTATTCATCGTTGATTCGCGTTAGCAATGCGAGCAAGTTTTCTTTTTCTCTATACTTTTTTATCCTGCCTCGTGTGTACTTATAATGAATTAATGCGATGAACGAATCGAAAACATTAATTTATACGTGACAAGATTCGTCAAACTGTTCTATTTATTTAATTTATTTTTTTTTTTAATGTCGATTACTCAATCGTTACGGGGGCACAATTAAAAATCATAGCGCGCGTGGCATCGACCTGTTTCATCGCTCTTAGTATCAGCTCGCATTCGGTTTTTGGTAGAGCCAAACGAACCGAATTAAAATCGAGAGGCAAGATTTTATAAAAATTTTTTTTTTGTTCTCGACACGATATGATGTAGAAAAAATAATCTTTATTTTTTTTATGTAACATCGATGCAATGAGTGACACTAGAATACGCATGCCGCTATTCATCTTAAAGACGATCATCCGAGAGAGATCATCATTTTCATCGAGTGAATCACTCGAAAATGGCAAGGTCGCGCGCGAAATTTTCTCAGCTCTTACACTCTTAAAGGAAGTTTATCTTAACGTTACAAATAATCGTATCCTTTTTATTTGTCCGAGTTGTTAAACTTGCGTAAAAATTCTGAGTGCGCAGGGAGTTTCTGGTTGAAGGGTACTTGCACATCAAGGACAAATCACCGGTTTTTCCTACTTTCTGCTACCTGTACATGCGCCATTGAGAACAACATGTTTCAGATCGCGTTACAGATGCTTTTAGTTTTTGTAAAAATAAACGATATGATATTCGAAATGTTTCGCCGAGGACGGAAGATTAGATATGAAATCTAAGCGCAATCACTAGTTTTAGAAAGTATAAATGCAATATGCGGTATGTTTACAAGCGAGAAACGAATATTAAAATTTATTAGTTTTCACGCCAATAAAAAGTTTAATCATCGACGCATTGAGTCATGTTCGCACATTAGAATCAAATGATGAAATTTTCAAAGTGCGAATAACGTGTGATATGTCGATTTGTGAAATGTTAAGGTGAGACTCATACTTACCGTGATTTTCAACATATTCAAATGTATGTGTCACATAAAAAACCCCAATATCTTCTTGTATTCTTAATATCACTCACTTTTTATTTTATTAAAAATAAAAAAAAAATACGTATAGTATAGTAATTGCAAAATATTACAACTTTTATAACTTCTCCGTTGAATATGAAAAATTTAATAATTATCATCTAATAAAATTATTTGAATTATGTTTTTTTTTTAATGTGCAAGTCATTATATCAACATTATTAAAAAGAAATTTTTCTAAAATGCGATTTTTTAAAGTACTCAAAAAAGTGTATACTTTATATAATCATTAATTTTAATTTTTGACTCCTCCAACTATTTCAATACTGACTTACCTGTTCGCGATCCTGAGCTCTTGGGAAATGAATATACATCGGTTTTCCATTGACCGTAATTTTTCCCGATCCCTTGCCTTTAACTGTGACTTCACCGCGTGCCGTTTTTCGCATACAATCTACATGTAAGGTTATAGATTTAGTTTTGATATCTTAAAATGGGTTACTTATAAAATTTCAATTTTTTTACCTGACACAGTAATAAATGGTCTGCCTTCAGCGTCATATTCCACCTGAAAATTTTATACCAAAATTCATAATTTTTAGAATGTAAATTACTCTAACGATTAAAGTTTGAGGGTAATGAAAAAGTAATTACGTCTGGAATATCAAAAGATTGAATGAGACTGGTCCTTGGTGCCCTATATTTCATAATAGTATCTTTAGCCATGAAGGCCCAAGGATGTTCTGCTAACCTTTTGGCAGTTGAAAGAAAATATTCATACTGAAATTTCAAGAAAATTAAATTTTACAATTTTAATGAAGATAAAAAGTATAACATTTGACTATTCCTTACATGTTTCTCGTCAACATTTTCTATAAGAAATTTTTCTAATTCAAGATGAGTCATCCAATCTGAAGCACCCATATCTCTTTAAAAAATAATAAAAATATTAAAAAAGATTCAAAACACTATTAATTTATTAAAGATAGATTCAGCTTACAATTTTTCTTTTGGAGCAACATTTTGGCTTATCATGTCATCTTCAATAGCATTTAATTTTTGCATTTCTTCCACCATAGTCTGTAACCAATTTTTAATTGATATGTAATAAATGTTCAAGTTTAAAGATTAAAATATAATTTAACAATAATTACATAAAGCATTTCATAATACTGAGGCCTTGTGGTGTAAAATAGAAAATGGAACGGTCTACCATTTAAATCAAACTCTGCTGCTTTCTTTGGAGGAAAGATTTCTTCTGGAGGTTTCATAATAGGTCTAGCGGCTTTATCAAACAGACCCGATGGAAACAGATACTCAATTGCTCTCTGTTAAATAAAATTTCATAAATGCAACTAATATTTTAATGAAAATTATACTTTGTTCTACAAAAACTTACATCAATATCATCTTGAGTAAAAGTTTCTGGATTCTCACCCATCATATTTGCTAAATGCCTTTTTCCTATCTGAAAGTCTGTTTTTTCTTTAAGGATGAATGAATCTAAAAAATATCAAAATTATATTTAAAGTTAATAAGTTGTATTAAAGATGTAGAATTATTTTTATATTAATAGTATATTTTACCATGAGCTTTGGCTCTTTCTAAATAAGCTAACATAGCTTTATTAATTTTTTTCTCTGGTGGTGGCTGGGCTTCACTGACATTTGATGCAAGTTTGGCAGCATCCGCCACAGTTGAAGAAAGACGTACATTGCCCTAAAAAACATTCATATTATAAACCAAAAGTAACAATTAAATTATAAATTAAATCTGAATTTTCCAACTAAAATTGCAATAACTAAAAACAAAATTCATACAAAAATTGAAGCCTTAGGTTATGTAAAGAAATCAAAAGAAATTTACTCTAGAAGTACAAAATGTCATTTGATGAAAAACTTACTAGACGACTGCTAAGCTTTGTAACTAAGTTTGACACAACGTTAACATTTTTGCACGATAAACTACTTAAGATATTCGCACTCATGTTGTTATGTCGCGTAGTGTTTTCGCGGCTGCACAACAAAATCACCCGACTGACGACTCCCATGCAATTGCTAGCAGACGACAAAGGATTCGCAGGTTGGACGCTGGAAGAAGCAGTCGGTAAAAACTTAGCTCTCTCATCCGTAAGTAAATTCCCACCGATTTCTACATTTTCGTTCGTTGATGCAGGCATAAACTGCCACACAACTAAATACATTCCTAAACATACATGCTTAATAACTTCGACCCCCCAAATATTTCTAATTAAATACATATAATTCCACTCTAATAACATTAACCTCAAAAGTACTTGTAACAAAAAAAAAAAAAAAAAAGGGCGGCCAGAGGCCGACCCATAAGCACAATGAATCTAATGGACGAAACACCCATGGATACTCATCAAAATGAAAATTTTGATGAGATAATGAAGGAGAAAACCCGACACAAAAGAGCGAACTCAGATTCAGACATGCCTAATACCCCGAAAAGGATGAACGGGGCACGCGCTCTCCTGCAGCTAGCACACCCAATTAATAGTTATAACTTTACACAAAAGAGAAACGAAGACCTCAATAATATAAACCCCTCAACACAAAAAATAACGCAAAATGATAATCCCACATACAATATAAATAATAATAACAACCAATCTAAACCCCCAGTGTTACATACATACCCAGACAATATATCAGGACCCTACAAAATTATTATACAAAATAAAAAAGACGCCAACGGGCGTAGTAAGCCTTTATATGAAATAGACATCGCCAAAAAAATGGTGCCCCTATACGGACAAAAAGTTTTCGAAAATTTTAAAAAAACCGGATATAACTCCATTTCAGTAATAACATACAACCGAAAAGTTGCAAATGAAGTCCTTACTTCTGATTTCCTAACCAAAAACAATTTAACGGCATTCATACCTCAATCCCATATCTACAAAAAATGTATCATACAAGGAGTACCCACTGACATAGACATCGAAAACGAAAAAATATGGAAATCACACCTAGAATTAAATTCTCCTTATTCCAAATTAACAATAACGAACGTTACGCGATTCAAAAGAAAAGCCAACGCTAAAGATAACCTACCGGCAGAGTCCGAAAATGCTCTGTTACCGACCAAGACTGTACTCATTACATTCATAGGACAGGTCATGCCGCAATACGCATACCTAATGAAGGTTAAATTCGAGACACAACATTACTTACCTAAAGTCAAACAGTGCACAAACTGCTATCGATACAAACATGTCAAAACAATATGCAAATCAAAATCTCGTTGTCTGTACTGCGGCTCAACAGAACATGCAAGCAATGACTGCACAACAAAAAGCACCCCTCAATGTGTTAATTGCAACAAAAATCACATTGCTACAGATAGGAACTGCGATACACGCAGAATAGAGCAGGAAATCCAAGATCTGTCAAAAAAAAACAATCAAAATCCCCACGAAATTAGGAGACAATTCACAGCTTCTGAAACCAACCGCAAGAAATTTAGGTGGTCTGAATACCCTGAACTGGCGGAAGAAAATAACAACGAACTTATTTCACAACCCCCAACCCCTTTTACCCAGAGCAACCGCTCGTATAAAAATGCTTTAATAAATAAAAATAAAAACAAACAAAACAAAATAATGAGAAAAAAAAACCCTGATCGTCGTACGGCATCAACACAAAACTCCTTTGTCTCTAACTCTGAAGACTCAGAGACAGAGAGTGCAGAATCCTTGACAGCAATGACATATAAATCCAATTACACACCCTCTGACTTACAACACACATCTCCATACCTAAACAATAACACAACTTTACAGCACACAGACCAAATCCCACAACCGCAAGAACTTGATCTTATTAATCTTGTTGAAAACTTAGAAAAATGCGGATTTTTAGATGCAGTAATAAAAATAGCTAATCAAATGCGCTCCAAATCTATAATACAAACAAACACAAATCAACAAACACAAGAAACAATATCTCAAAATGAATCAAATGGAATTAGAAACGCTTAAGATCTTCCAATGGAATTGCCACAGTATTTTTAATAAATTAGGAGACCTTAAACAAATAATTGAAGAATATGACATTATACTATTAAGTGAGACGTGGCTTAATGAACATAAAATTTTTAATATACCAAATTATAATATTATAAGAAGAGATAGAAACGAACAAGGGGGGGGAGTGGCTATAATTCTAAAAAACCACATACCCTTCAAAAAAGAACCCTCCATTTACTCTCAAAAAAATGGACTAGAATCAGTAGCCATAAGCATACCTTTAGAAAACAACATCAACAATACAAATAATTCAAATTCACTTCTTTTAGTTTCACTTTACAGAAGCCCACACAAAACAACAACCCTAAATGATTGGAAAAATTTCTTCAATACTTGTAAAGAACATAAATACATATTTATAGGAGGAGATATGAACGCTCATCATTTCACATGGGGAGCCAACAAAAACTGCCCATCAGGCAATAATCTAGCAGAAATCCTAATAGACTATAATCTATCTATACAAAACGATGGCTCTCATACATACTACAAACCCCACATACCCTTCACAGATAGTGAAACACCCACCCTCAACTCTCAAATCATGGATAACATAGATAACGTCATCTCCTCTCCCATTGACCTAACAATAGTTTCGTCAAATATATCATCTTTAACTAGTTGGGAAGTATATACAGATAATCTGTACAGTGACCACTTCCCTGTTATTACCACTCTGCAACTGAAATTCCAAAAAGTCTCACCCTTCTTCTCACATAAACTAAATCTTAAAAAAACTAACTGGCAATCATATTACAATAATCTGGAAAATTTCTTAAACAATAATGAACACATATTTCAAGACATGGATGATGAAAAACTTTACTCCTCTATCACACAAGCAATGAAAATTGCCACACAATCTCACAAAAGTCCAGATTCCATAAATCTTAAACTAGCTAGTATAATCGACTCAAACCCAATTTCAAACTCACAACACAGTCAAGAGAATTTAATAAGCTCCAATCAACAACGCCACCCTATCAAAAACTCCAAATCCTCCTCCTCACCATGGTGGAACGAGGAGTGTACGTCTCTTGCTGCTGAAAGAAGAAGTCTTGCTAAAAAATTCCTCAATGATCCGACACCTGAAAACTTAAAACTCCTAAAAATAAATGAAAAATCAACCAAAAAGAAATTTGCTGAAATCAAAAAAACATCATTTCAGAATTATATAGAATCCAAACTATCTAAGGATACTGACATGTCAGAAATTTGGAAAACTATTAACAAATTCAAAGGAAAACATATTAACAACCATAATATCAACGACTTGGAAACACAAGCAAATGCAAGGAAATTCATACAAGAATACTGTGCGCACACACCCCTGGAACCTCCAAACTTCCAAGAAAACTCTTCTGGAGTGAACAATGACACAGAATACATAGATGCACAAATTTCACTTGAAGAATTCACTGCAGCTATTGAATCCTCAGCAAAAAACTCCTCTCCAGGCATAGATCAAATCACCTACTCTATGCTGAAACAGGCTCCTCCTAATCTTATAAAATTACTGTTAAAATCTATAAACAATCATCTTGATAAGTATCAAATACCAAAAGATTGGAAATCCTCACTAGTAATACTGATACCCAAAAACTCAAATAAAAAATTTAGACCTATCACTTTAGCATCATGTATCCTTAAAACTACAGAAAAGGTTCTAAACGCCAGACTGCTCCACTATGTAGAAAAACATAACATTCTACCAGAATCG